TATTTACCAGTCATCATTGTTAAAGACAATAAATCCTCTGTTTCCTCTTCCAAAAGCCACTTGGTTGCTTCCATTGTCCCACCAGTTTGTAAAAGGCTGGCCATCAACTACATTACGGAAAACAACCATGTTCCTTTAAAAAACAAAACAGATGTAAAATGACAATAATGAATGCTTCAACAGTTGAAGATAAAATGTTAAAGTCTGTTATTAATCAATAATACTAAATAAATATCTCCACCTTATTTGACGCCATCGATGTTCACAGACCCAGTCATTGCCACAGGTTGTGTCTGGATTAATTGTAACTCTTTTAATCACTCCAGCATCATTTGGCGGTCCAATCCAATCATTAATATCCTTAATTAGAAAAGAGTTAATATTCTGAACGCTACATGTACGTGCCTCTCCCTTTCCGACACACCAAATTCAGTCTTTCCTACAGCTTACTCCTGCCTCTGCAGTTCCGATATTGGGGAATTGCCATAACCTTTAAACAAGTCCCCTCGAGTGCTGTTTCTAAAACATGGGTAAGAGTTTCTTAATGCTTCCATTTTCCAAATAGGAAAAGTGTGTATCAGTATCACTATAGGCCATTCACGGAAGGTCTATAGTATCAGAAACCCAGGATGAAAACATGGACCCTATTATTGCTAGTAATAGAAACATAGACAGTGTACTTAATTTCTCTGAACCTCAGTTTCTTAATCTATAAGATAGGACTATCACATTTGCTGTAACATATGATATAATTTATTATAAAAGTACTTTGAATATAATCATTGCCTGACAAATATTTGTTTCATTCTCTTTTTTTGGATAGATACATAAATCAGTCTCCCACTATATTACCTACTAAAGTTATCAAATATTTTTAATATTGCCTTTTCCTGGTTGATGCTTCATAAGAAAGTCGTAGTGGAGAAAATCCAGAAAAATCTAGAAGGATCATTAGTATGAAAGTTAAATCATATGATGAAAAGTAGGCAAATCTAAGAATCACTAGGATGAAGAAATCTTGGAAAGGTAAATTTCATCAAATATTTGAAGGGAGGCTTTCGGGGAAAATAGAAACATCCCCTTAAGGTCAGAAATAATACCGATTAGTGGACATTTTAAGAAGTTGTTTCAAAATGAAGAGCTGACTTATAAATATTGAAACTGTCTTCAAAAGCAAGTACTGTGCAAAGAAGGGAGGTTCTCAGATAGAAATGGTATCCAGAAGGAATTAATAAATATCCGTCTGGTTAGCAGGGAAGGTGATTTTCTGCTTTAGGTACAAAATTACTTTTTGATGCTGCTTCTAAAATCTTCAGTTTAAAACAAAATCTCCCACAAGCATTCCAAATACCTTCAAAATCGTAAGTCTCTGTTCCCACTATTAAGGTTAATGTCTTTACCATGCCCCAAATATTACCCCTTTCTTTTCTTTCCTATAATAGTTGGTAAACTTCTCTTCTTAATTTATGAGTATATAATTTCCTTCTTTATATACTAAACTTTATGTATTTAACTTCAGCCTCTACATATCTGTATTCTGTCTTTAGTTTGTGCTCCAAAAGACTTTTTAAAAATAGATATTTTTAACATGTTTGTATTATTCTTACTACAGAGAGGTACTATTTCAAATTCTTTATAGATTATAACTTGTGTAATCCTCAATAACCATATGAGATAGGTTCCTAAGGAAAATGTGTGTGTAGTTTATTATAACGTGCTCTTATGTGACATGAATGGAATACAATAACCACATACACACACACACACAGAAAGGGGTGTAGATGATCTGTAAATAATGTGCTTGCACAGTTATAAACAGCCCACAACAGAATGAATTTTTAAAGAAATTTTAAAGAATTTTTTGGTGGGGGAAGGTATAGCTGTTATAATCCGGAAACATCTTGTATATTGTTTGACAGCAGAGACTATAAAATGTACTTATTTAATATCTTCAATATCTAGCACATTATTTAAATCTGAATCCTGAATATAACAGCATCCTGTGAAGTTAAAACAAAAAATTCATTTTCGTTTCTAGGAAAAAAAATAACTTTGGACAACACAAAAACTTACTTTTCCATTCTCAAAATATCGCGGCCAACGGAAACTTGACATTACTCGTGTAAATCCATAAGGATGAGCAAGCATAAATCCAACTCCCATTTTATACAGTCTGAAAGTTACAAATGATACTATCAGAGAAGAAATGAATCACTTTAACTGTCATTCAAATATAAATTTAAAAATGAGAACATTTGTTCCTACCTAGAGTCCCAAAATGTAAGAATAGAGGCTCCTCCAGCTCCATGTCCCCGCTGGTTGTCATGGTTATCCACAAAGACCAGGGCTCTGTCAGAAGGCATGAAACCCCAGCCTTCTCCCCAGTTCCTTTAAAAATAAAATAAAGTAGTGGCATGACCTAAGTGTGTATCTCTTTAGCATATGCATCCTCATTAAATTGTCTCTCCAATTAGGTGGCCATTCTGTTGTGGGCTGTTTATAACTGTGCAAGCACATTATTTACAGATCATCTACACCCCTTTCTCTCTGTGTGTGTGCATGTGATCATTGTATTCCATTCATGTCACAAGCATAAGATTTGTTATAGAAAGGTTTTTCTATGAATTTTAGTATGTTATCATATAGGTGGATTTCAGAAGGGTCAATATCATTATCACATTATTAAGAATAGCAAAGAAAGTTAAACTAAGATTTCAGTGTTGTAGTTTATATACATTTTAATATTTTAATTAATTCATATATGTCAATTACATAGTGTGGCATGCTTTCAGAGGGCAGGACTATTTTAATAATAACCTAGTCATAACAGAGTATATATAAATATTATTCCAACCTAATATATTCACACCAAAACTGCTAAACCAAATGCCATCTAGTCAATTCAGACTATATTGACCCTAGATCTCTAGATTACCTTTGAGTTTGTAGACATAACTTCCTTGTAATTGGTATAGTAGTAGTGACCAATTGGATTTTGTTGCTCTGATACTTATTATCATGATTTGAATCTTTGACCAGACTAAAAGACTACACTCATTGATTTTAAGTGTGTTCTAACTCATAGTGATCCTAAAGGACAGAGCAGAACTGCTTACTAAGGTGACTGAGGCTGTAACTCTTTGTGGGAGAAGACAAGCTGGTCTCCTCCTGGAGAATCTCTGGGGATTCCAACGACCAGCCCTTTCGTTAGCAGCATAGCCCATCTACATCACAGCGCTCCCAACCCATGACAGCTGCTTAAAATAAACAACGTTCTAAGAAGATAACTCATGTTGAGAAAACATATCCAAAAGATAAGTGAAATAATTCAAATAACAAACCACATCATATTTACTTTAAGTAAGTCATCTTCTCTCCATTCCACTTGCGCAGAACTGTGCCCAGTTTTGCACCATATTTAAATTCTGTCACACGACCATTTCCAAAGTAGTCACTGCTTTTAATTGGCTCACCACCAAGGTCAATTACCTAATAAAAATATATCACACAAAGTATTGTTTAACATTAAAAAAACATGAAAGTATTTTGGTAAACAAATTTGGTATACTGAACTATTTATATTATTTGAAATGCACAAAATGGCTTTCCTTACACCAAATATTTTTGTTATTTATTAGCCAGGGCACCCTAGTGCAGCTGTTGCGTAAGCATTAGACTGCGAAATACAAGGTCAAAAGTTCCAATCCACGAGCCTCCTCAAGAGAAAGATAGGGTATCTGCTCCTGTAAAAATTTGTGATAAGAGATGTAAGAGCCCCCAATAAAAGTATATTAAAAAAATTTACAGCCTCAGAAACCCTTAAAGGGCTGCTATGTCAGAACCCATTCAGTAGAAATAAGAGAGTGTATGCTACAATATTAAAAAGGAACATCAAGCCAAGGTGAGTCTGTTGACTTGTGAAAATAGATATAATTTAATGTATATAAATTATTTTATAACAATTGGTAATATTTCTAAGTGCTTGATAAATATTAACTGATTTAATTCTGCAAAGAAATCTAATCCATAACCATTATTATTAGTTAGTTTATTTCTTCTATATCAAAAATTGTTTCAAAGGGAGGTTAATCAAGTTATCCAAATTCATGTAGGTATTAAACTTATAGCCAAGTTTTAGATTCTGGTAGCTATCTTATTATCTGCCTTCCATATGGCCTCTGGGAAAATGGTAAGTGAGCCAGTAAAATTTGCAAATTAAATAAATACTCTGCACTTCCATAGAATATATTATTATAAGGCATTAGATGTGCTTTCTCTAAACAGAAGGTGGTAAAATAAAAAAATTAATATTTAAAACTGTCTATATAAATGACTTAGCCATTAACACAAAGATTTCATTAAATGTACTATTTCTTATTTAACAAATGAACTTGTATTATTTCATATGCACATATATGAGTTGATGTACCTCTTGGTAAATGAAAGGTTTGCTTCCTTCAGGGAACCAGCTTGTGTTTAGATTATGAAGTTTATCCAGAATTGCTTTCATGTCTCCAGGCCACATGTGCTTCGAAGCATCAATTCTGAACCCTGCCACACCAATGTCAATGAGGTGGTTCAGATATTCAGCAATTTTGGAACGGACATAGTCCTTCTCCAGTGCAAGATCCAGAAGACCAACCAGACGACAATCTCTGACCTATCAAGGCAAAAAATATATATATAATTTACATGTTAAAAATTGCCTTTTATCTGATATCCATTATCTTATTAACAAATAATATTCCAGGGCATCTTCTTTGCATAAGACAATAGGAATATTGAAACTCTAGTACAGACATAACTCAAATATTGCCTACTATAAAAACGGAAACTATAGGGGAAAAAGTGAAAAAGCTTTTTAATAACCTTTTCTTATTTTTTAATGACCTAAATTTCTTTCTTTTTATAAATAATTGATTAGACTTGTAATCTTTGTTTTCCTAGATAACATAAATTCACTTAAAATAAATTTTGAAATAAAATTTCATATACTATATGTAGATAATTGAGCACGCAATCATGTTTATGTGGGACCTATTACACAGACGAAAGGGCAGTGGTTCAAACAGAACAAGGAGATACTATGTGGTTTCAAAGCAGGAAAGGATTGTTTCAGGGTTGTATTTCTTCATTTGTAAATAATTTGAGAAGGTGGACTATGTGAAAAAGAATATGACATCGGGACTAGAGAAAAATCTCTTGGGCTACTTGTGGTATGCAGGAGATATAACCTTGCTTGCTGAAAGTGAATTTGAAGCATTTACTGGTGCATGTCAACGACTACATATTTCTGTATAGATTACAAACAATGTGAGGAAAACAAAACCCTCACAACTAGATGGGACTAAGCAACAGCACGATAAACACAGAAAGGAAAAGAGTTATTAAGGATTTGCTTGGGTCCACAATCATCCATGAAAACAGAAACGTCTTTAGAATGTTAAAATGCAAAGATACTATTTTGATAACTTAGGTTCACCTGACCCAAGTCATGATAATTTTAGTCTCCTCAGGTATATGTGAAAGGTGGGGAATAAGTAAGGTAGACCAGATAAAAGTGGATGTCTATAAATTATGATGTTAGTGGAGAATACAGAATACACGAAAGAATTGCCAAAGGAATAAATAAGTCTCTCTTGGAAGGATGGCCAGAATGTTCCTTGAAAGTGAGGATGGTAGGACTTCATGTCACCCACGTTGAGCATGTGACCAGTCGGGGCTTGGAGAAGGGTAGCATACTCGGTAAACTGGAGGGCCAGCAAAGACAAGAAAGAGCCTCGCCGCTCGGACTGACAGCGCTGCA